CCCCCCCTTCAAAAAGGAACCAAAACACCCATCACGAAACAAAGTAAACATATGCCAAAACAAACATCCCACCCTTAACAACACAAGACATGAAAAAACCTACAACGAACTACATAATTGAACAAACTCTTTGGGAACTTATTTAGGAATCTCTTTATTTCTCCTGCAAACATTCTTCAATTTCTTCACCTTTGAAACCTGGATTGTTCCAAGGGTTTTCTGATAGTTGAACTTACAGCATCAGGCTCCTTCAAACCCCACAGTTCCTTTGGATTATCATTGATCCTTTCCAACTACGACCACATTTCTCTCAAACAACTGATCCAGCATTACCACTCCCTCTCCTCCACACCCAGTTCCAACTCCTTTAAACAAACTTGGCATTTTTTTTATCTACATCTCCACCGCCTTGACTGAAGCTTCCTCTTGTAATCACCATGTTCTGTATCTTCCAGTTCTTTTATATATTTTTGGCAACATCTTCATCCTTCTCCTCCTTTCCCATTCTCTGAAACTTCTCCCTGTTCTCCGGTTGCTTCAAGACACTCCCTTTCCCTCTACACTCTCAATTACACTTCCACCACCTACTCCTTCCCCCCCTCCCTTTCGTCTTCTCCAACCCCCTCTAACTGCATAGTTGCAACCTCTCTTTCCTTCTCCATCCCCTTCCTCCTCATCCCCCTCCTCTTAAGGATTCAGGAGGCTTACGCCTCTTACATTCTGAACTACGCCTCATGCCTCTAGGTGGTGGAACATGTTGCGTCACACCTCCACGTTTTAAAACATTGGTGGATTAAAGAGATCAATCAAGTCATGGCTTCTCTCCACCATCCAACCAGCTTTGAGGAAAAACTTTATGCGGGCAGACACAATAAGAAAGATTTGGGAGCAAGCTAGAGTATATCAATTAAAAGCAGAATCTTCAACTTGTAAGCAAGTAGAAAAGAGTCCATCTTCTTATTTTTCTACCCCCACGTCAATGTGGAAGGAACTTGACCATTACCATCAAACCAGCTAATCGTACCAACCTATCTCATTGAAGAAACACAATCAGGTAAAGCAGACAACTCCAACTTAAACTCATGATAAATATACCATTGCTTATACCAAATTCTCTGACTCCTGGTATGATAGTAAACTGATCTAAAGTGGAGTTCCTCCTTTTCAAGAACAACCTTGAGCATATAGATCTGTGTCACTCACCTCCAGATACAAAGTTTCAAGGGTGGAATAAATACAATTCCCCCAAATAAGAATCTCATTGAATTAAACAGAAACTCCAATCAGTGTTGTAATGTTGTTATAGTCCATCTTGAAAAACCTCCCACAGTGCTATTTGCCAATCTCAACAGAAGTACACCCGCATTAAATGTGTAGGGGAGCACTGAAAATACTCAACCAGCAATTCACATAGGTTGAAACTTAATACCCCTGATTAAAGCTCCACCTTCCAAGATGAAAATACTCAACCAACAATTCACGTAGGTCAAAACTCAACACTTCTAATCTGGAGGATTTGAACACCCTCTTCCTTAGAGTGGAAGACAAACAAGAAAAGGCTATTGCAAAAATTATGCAGCATCATTTTAGGTTGACACCAAGACCCAGCTACAACCCAATTTCTCAATTTGCTCAGCCTCTAGGTTTAAATTGTTGAATCTTCCCACAAGTTAGTGGTGTAAAAGTGTTTGTCATTAGGTTACTTCCATCTTAAGAAGCTTCACTCTGTTCAACTTACCCACTACTAAGACTGATGCCTCCCTTCTTTTTTTTTATGAATGATAATAAATTTATTAATTCAAAAGCAGATTTAGAGTGAGTTCATACAACATCCCAGGGAGAGGCACGAGCTGCAGCCCCTCCTTGAATCTTAAAAGTAAACTAGGAAAGAAAAGCAAGAATCACAATTGAGCCCAAAACAATTCTTCCCTATTTACCCCTTGCTTAGCTAACACATCTGGCAAAGTATTTGCTGATCTCCCCACCCACTGTACAGTGACCAACATATTCCTTGTCAACCAACTAAATTCCTTCATTTCATTCTTGTAACGCCACAGCCTCTTCAGGATTTTTCAACCAACCCACCACCACTTTGGAATCCCCCTCGATTGTTAGGTGTTGTACCCCCAGCTGGTTTGCAAATTGCACCC